TTACGGACCATGAATTCTTTACCCTCTAATATGAAATCTTCAAGTTGTTCCATATGGACTTCCTCTTATAAACTCCTATTCATAAAAATTGTATTCACATCCATTTGATATAACTCTAAATCATAATAAGCTACTAACGCCATGGTATTTTAAAAGATTCCTTCTTAAATACTAGAGAGAATGTTTCTTTATAATCTCTTCATTCATAACACTAATCCATTTAATAAAATCATCACTGTTAATGGCTTGTGAATATGTAACCGGATTCGTATATATCTCACTATATATCAAAATCAGATTCTTGCTGATATATCACATAGTCATCTGGAATAACAGATCTTCTTTCTCTTTGAGATCGTCTTAATGTTATTCCTTATGATTTTTCTACAATCTATTCATTGGTGACAATCTCATTATAGAGTTATTGATCATTTAATTATTCTTCGTTGTTATACGGTTCAACAACTGAAGGAACAATTATTTCCTTATAAGTTATGGATAAAGATATTTGTACCCTAACTTCTGAAATGATCAAATTCTTATTTTTATCACTCCCACTGATTTCACCATTCTTAATGAATCTGACATTACCGGTTTCAATAATTATCGTACTATGTTTCGGATAGTAAAACTTGTACCCTTTATATTACTTAATATCCACAACATTATGGGTAACGAGGAATTACTTAACATACTTCTAACCAATTACATAAGAGTACGATTATGCCTTACAGCTACACGCTTCTACTGTGGCATATATAACAAAGTGTATTGAACACAAATGGCATACATTTCAAGGAGTTTAACAAACGGTTCGAGTATTAACCTGTTTCATCATACTTTACATAATATTCACCACCTCTATATGACCTTATGATTTTCACTTTCTATCTAGTTGTTTTTCAACCTCATTTATGTATACTTCAAGAGTACCCACTACTTGAGATTTTTCACACAACAATTAGATTATCTATAACGTGAAAAATCAACTATAAAGGCGATAACATACTTTTCTCCTCCAAAAGATGGAACATCAGAAGGTTTACAAATAATTTCAAGAAGCTATGTACTTATTGTGGCTCATTTCTTTGTGCGTTTAGTTTGTCTATCCTTAATACAATCTACACACACATCAAAATCAGTAAAGTTTAGAATCAGAAGAATCATATCCTTTACTAATTTTCCTAACCTTTCACTAGATATTGACCTAGTCTTTTATGCCAAAGATAAATTTTCTATTAATTGAGTTACGCTTAATTCTAACATTATGATACAAGATCAAAAGGATTTTAATAAATAAACCATTAAATTTGAATTTACAGAAATCATCAACAATAATGCCATAACTCACAAATTTTAATTTCTTAAATAAATATCATTACCAAATTTAAATGAAAAACCATTAACATAAAGTTTTTGAAATAAAATCAAATTATGGGAAATTGAATAAACATAAAAATTTTAAAAACAATTTAAATAAAATTCATTGTTTAACATTAAACATAGTGTCACAATGGTTTCAACAAAACTTTTTCCCAATTATCATAAATTAGAAATTCTTATTTGAATTTGTGGTTTAGGCCATAAAAAACTCTTACATCTATTAGAAACATAAATATTAGTACTTAAATCAACCTATCATGTATTAAAAAAAATTTCAACAAGTAATTCGCAATGTACAAAAGCCAAAAGCGTACTTTTCTTTTTCGAATCATTCTTTATATGTCATGTAATCTTTCTAAAAGTGTTCAATACATTAATGACACTTTTTCATTATTACATTACTTTCTTTTAGTAGATTGACTTAAATCTTTTAATTTTGGGTGTTGCTTACTTATTGCCTTTTCTGACTTATTCCAAAATTTCTTTCTAACTTCTTGAGTCGTCAAATGAACATAATGATTACCTTGCTACTTAAGTTTTGTCTCCTCATAAATTAACATAATGGTCAATTAAATCACTTTCCACTTGTCTTAATAGTGTTAATTCGAAATGACCCATACAGAATAGACAAGAAATTGAGAATAAATTGAATAAGAAAATTCCCATTCACAATCATCCATAAGGTTCTCAATTTTGCAGCAACATTAGTCATCTAAAAATACGATCATACATGGTACGAGTACGACAAAAAATCCATAGTAGTTATATCAATTAATAATTTTCGTTTTAGATATTTATCTACAATACGAAAACATTCTTATAATTAAATATTCCTTAGCACTATCACTATGAGGAACAATTATTCGCATAACTATAATGCTTAATATGTTCGATCTCTCCTAAGCTTTATGGAGAATCTTTTCTTCCTCACTGTTTTTATCAGTAATAACAGTAAATTTCTCAATTTAAAATGCTAAATCAAGATTTAACACATCTAAATTTTGAACTCAACTTACTCATTCCATTATGAGAAGTTAGTCATATTGAGAATCAGAACAGAAGTAACATGCGCATTAAGGGATGTAATAAAACAAACATAATAAGATAAAATCCTAACAACAATAATGCTTTGAGTTAACAACACCTATGTATAACTTAAAAATATAAATACAATGTATAACTATAGTACCTCTTTGGGTGGCAACTATAAAATACTAATAATGATGCTTACATGTATTTATATGTATACTTTTATTGGTGATGCATTTTTTAATTAAACAAATAAGTTACCTTTAGATATCCTATATTTACCTAATTAAAAAATACATACAACCCCTTAATTTTTATTTAATCACTTGAAAATCAATTCCCTTTGAGGAATTATTTCTCATAATTAAATAAAGTCAATATTCATGAATATCACAAAAATTATAAGCATCCTAATTCATGAAATATTTTAATTATGTTTACTACTAAAATTAATATTCATCAACTATTATGGTTAGGCCACTTTGGTAGCTACCAACCTTTACATAATATGAATATTAAATTAGATAGTAACTAAATTATGATTAATTATGTCTATTACAAAAATTAATATTCATCAATCATTAAAATTGGGCCACTTTAGTAGCTACCAATCTTCACATAATATGAATATTAAATTAGACAGTAATTAATTCATCATTAAGTTATATTTACTACTAAAATTAATATTCATCGACCATTATGGTTAGGCCACTTCGGTAGCTACTAACCCACACATAATATGAATATTAAATTAACTAGTAATTAATTAATTATTAATTTACCCATTTAACATTATACACACATACTCATAATCGTCGATTAAAGTTTAAGCAACTTCGATCTCAAAAACTTAATAGTCCGAAATTTCATAGAAAATATCTTTTTATTTTATATACATAATAAAATATATTATTTTATTTTCGGACTTAAAGATCATAATTGAATCAATTTAAAATTGATTCTACAATATGTATGTATGTTTGGGTACGAAACAATAAGTTATTTATATGTCTAATTTATTAGATTAAATTTCTAAACTCACAAATTATTCTAGAAATTCAAATTCCTAAAATAAATATATCAATACATATATTTTATGTATTCAATAACTTTAATTTTAATATATTTTAAATTAAAATCAGAATCTTCAAATCATTGGACAAATACTTATAACAATAATTTAAACCTTTAATAAAATAAATAAATACACAAACTTTATGTATTTATTAATTTTTAAATAATAATAATAATGAATCTTTGTAATCCTTTCACAACTTACTGTTTTTATAAAACAATAGCAAGACAAATGCTATTATTATTATTATTTTTTTTAATTCAATATTCTTTATTAGTCATGCACGAAAATCAATAACCTAAAGCATTGAAGTTGTTTGTCTTACACATATTATGCATACCTTTGTATTATTACACATATGTAAACTATGTATCAGTAACCAACTTTCATAATTCAATTTTGGCTCAGAAATTGAGGTACCTAAACCCAAAAACCACACGGACTGATCTAAACATACGATTTTAAAAGAATGGATTATACAATCATTTAATTTTAAAATTATACATATTATTTATGCAACTTTAATGAAAAATAATGAGTTCCTAAACCGTTAGCTCTGATACCACATGTAAATTATAATAATTCGTGTTAAACCATTAATCACAAATTTACATGAATCCCATATCTTAGAACTTCATGATTTTCACATATCTATAATGCATAAATAAATACTAATTAGATATAAATATCTCGATTCACGATATCAATTCTTGTTGAGATTAAATCCAACGTCCAGATTCTTTGGCCACGAACTAATCTGCAACTCTGATCAACAGGCAAAAGTGGAAACTGGTTACTTTCTCTTGGCCTTTTGCACACATAAAACTTTTATGTGTTGAATCATTAATTGTACATAATTGATGGAGTATATGTACTTTTATAAAGGCAGAGAGAGCACCAGTTTTCCTTTTAGTAATATAATTCTACTTTCCATCAAAGTAAGGAATAAGAAAGGAAAACACTTCTCCAATAAGTAATTACCAAAAAAGTAATTATAAGTTGACCAAAAATAAATAATATTAATTGATATCTATTTACTTAGCCACCAAGTAATATGTCACATATCCAAATCATGTGGGTCACAATTAAATAAATAATCTTACATTAGTATCCTTGGGCCAACGCTTCCAACTAGGCTACTTTTCTCCCAGTGGTTCCAAGAATCTGTACTCGGGAATATGGTACAAGATTTCTCCACAAATTGTTGTGTAGGTGGCAAACAGGGAAAATCCAGTTACAGATTCATATGGAAAGTTAACTCTCAACAGCGATGGCAATCTCGTGGTCTTCAATGCCACAAAGGGTGTCATCTGGTCCTCAAATTCTTTAACAACTGTGCAAAATTCATCAGTTGCACGGCTACTGAATTCTAGAAACCTTGTCCTAAAAAAAAGAAGAGTACTGAGCTGATACCGAAAGTAGCTACGTATGGCAAAGCTTTGATTTCCCATCAGACACAATTTTACCTGGCATAAAGCACGGATGGAACTTAAAGACCGGCCTAAATAGATATATGACATCATGGAGAGATGCCACTGACCCTTCCCCTGGAGACTTCACTTATGGAGCCGATATTACTGGGATTCCTCGTGTTCTTCTTCAAAAGGGATCATCAGAGAAGATGTTCCGCACTGGGCTATGGAATGGAGTTCGAATTAGTGGTGCTGGTGGGGGGTCAAGCACAGTTATTAAATACAAATTTATAGTCAATGCAGATGAGGTGTATTATATTTACGAGTCTAGGAATGACTCCTATACTACAAGATTTACGCTGAATCAAACGGGTATGCTACAACGCTTCATCCTGAATGAAGGGAGCTCTGAATGGGTTCGTATGCATACGATACAGAATGATCTTTGTGATGACTATGCACGCTGTGGTTCCAATGGTATTTGCAGAAGTACCAGTAGGCCTATATGTAAGTGCTTGGAGGGTTTCATTCCAAAATCACAGGAAGAATGGGACCAGCTTGACTGGTCCAGCGGATGTGTTAGGAGGACATCGCTGGATTGCCAGAACGGAGATGGATTTGTGAAACTCAAAAATGTGAAATTGCCAGACCTGTTAGAGTTTTGGCTGAAGGAGAGTCTGAACCTTAAGGAATGCGAGGCAGAGTGCTTGAAGAATTGTTCTTGTACAGCTTATGCTAATTCAGATATCAGGGGCGGAGGCAGTGGCTGTTTGATTTGGTTTGATAATTTAGTTGAAATTCGTGATTTCGATATCAACGAGGGCGAGCAAGATATCTACATACGGATGCCAGCTTCGGAACTCAGTAAGCATATTTGTTGCCATACTATATAATATTTACATTCTGCTATTACTCTGTTAGATGTCAGCCCCTTGAATCCTTTTATGAAGACTCGAAACAGTTTGTTTCAATCTTCCTAGTCTTTATCATGTAGCAACAGGCAGGTAGTGAAATTAGTTCTTGTCCTGGCTTTATGCCAACTCAGCATTCTCCAAGTGACCTTTTGATGAGCAGTTCTACAAACATCCCAAGCCTTTTTGAAAACGAAACTGACTGTTACTCCATAAAAGCTTATCAGATCCAGCAGGAACAGGAACACTTGTCAATATCAGCTGCAATCCATGAAGCTCATTAGGACACAAACCATCAAAAGTATTAAGGTTTGACCCCCACACCAAGGGTCAGTGTCAATTACGATAGTCGATTTTTATTATACTATGGAGGTCTTAAAATGAAATGTTTGGGATTCATGTCTAGAATTTCCTTTATTTTTGCTTTTCTGAAGGCATGCCCAACAAATGAAGCTTTAGGACTAATGATGAACTAACTTTGTCATAAATTTAGAGCATAATCAGATGGAGAAGACACCGGTGCTGATCGTAGTGGTATCAATAGCTTCCGGGATTGTTGTCGTCAGCTTGTTAACTTGGGTGTATAATTAAGAAGAGGAGAAAAAAAATAGGTATGCTGCCTTCCCTCTCTGGTATGATTATTGATACATTCCAAGTCAGTTATTGTCACATGAATATTAGATAATTATGCACTTGGATGGACATTTTGAACATTTTATAAGGTTTCATTCCTTTTAAGTGTACGAGACTGTTATATGAATGATGACAGTTATCTAGTTGCACCTATAACATATTTGATTGTGCAGGTGTGGAAACTAATAATGACGACATTGAGTTACCATTTTTTGATCTGGTCACTATTGCAAATGCCACTAAGAACTTCTCTTCTGCAAATATGATCGGAGAGGGTGGTTTTGGTCCTGTTTATAAGGTTTAATAAGTAATCTTCAGTTCAATATGTAATAAAAAAAGGTGGATCTCATCATGTTAACATTTATTTTCAAAAATTTGTAGGGTATGCTAACAACGGGACAGGAAATAGCAGTCAAAAGGCTTTTGAAAAATGCTGGACAAGGTGTACAAGAGTTCAAAAATGAAGTTATTTTGATTTCCAAACTTCAACACAGGAATCTTGTTAGGCTGTTGGGCAGTTGCATTGATGGAGAAGAGAGGGTGCTAATATATGAGTACATGTCAAACAAAAGCTTGGACTATTTCATTTTTGGTCTACTTCTCTTGACCATTTATCTTATTAGACCAATTTCATTGTGCATTTTATGCAGCAGAGTCCTTTGCTCAATTGGCAAAATGATAACTGATGTACAACTTATATGGATGGAAATCTTGTGCAGATCAGAATCGAAAACTAGAGCTTCCTTGCGAAAAGCGATTTGAAATTTGCATTGGCATATCATGGGGACTTCTCTACCTTCACCAGGACTCAAGATTAACAATCATTCATAGAAATCTCAAAGCCAGCAACATTTTACTAGATGATGAACTAAGTCCCAAAATTTCAGACTTTGGGATTGCAAGAAGTTTTGGGAGAGATGAAATTGAAGCCAAAACAAAGCGAGTAATCGGAACATAGTAAGTTTTGTAACCAAATTTTAGATAGTACTTGTTCATTATTTTCAAATGCTTAAATTTGATAATTTTATGCAGTGGTTACATGTCGCCGGAGTATGCCATTGATGGGAAATTGTCAGTAAAATCTGATGTCTTTAGTTTAGGTGTGCTTTTACTAGAGATAGTGAGTGGCAAGAAGAACAGGAAATTTCATCATCTTGATCACTATCATTCACTTTTGGGACATGTATGGTGAAATGTATTCTACTGTATTTTATTTTATTTCTCTAACTTCCTATGTGAATTACTAAATTTGAGGATTGTGCTTGTTATAGGCTTGGTTGCTGTGGAATGATCACAGAGCCCTGGAATTAGTGGATTCATGTTTGGAAAATTCATACATCGAACCTCAAGTAGTAAGATGTATTCAAGTGGGTCTACTATGTGTTCAAAAACTGCCAAAAGACAGACCTTCCATGTCATCAGTAGTTTTCATGTTGGGTAATGATGGGGTGGCATTGCCTGAACCTAAACTGCCTGGTTTCTTTGTCGAGAGAAGTTCCATGGATGCAGAGACATCAACAAGTGGGAGAAGTCATACTGGAAATTCCTTGACAATAACAATAATGGAAGCTAGGTAATAGAAGTAGTGCCTAGTGATGGAGTTGATGCAGTGATGGAGTTGATGCGTCTCAAGGGGAAAAAAAAAAAGAGATTGTAAATGGTTTCATGTCCAAAAATGATGACATACACTTATTGATTGAGGTCGTCTTTAACACTGATTTGTAAATTGCATACTAATTTTACAAGCGATTGGTGTTTCATGTCCACTATTGGTGGACAAAGTCATAGAATGCTAAAAAAGTGAATGCTGTGAAGGGTATAGTTTTATCTCTATATATAGTTGGCAGTTAAAAGAAAATAGATTAGAATAATTTACAACATTAGTATTACATGGCACATTTGTAATTTAATTTTAATTTTTCTCTTTTTTTTTTCCCTAAGACATTTGTTTGAAGATGAGCACATGCATCGGTGAATTTTGACTTGTGAGTCGTGACTATTATAAATTATGAGTAAACGACTAGGGTGGTTATGAATTTAATATCTGGCATTTCAAATGTGCCATGTAATACTAATGTTGTAAATTATTCTAATCTATTTTCTTTTAACTGCCAACTATATATAGAGATAAAACTATACCCTTCCAGCATTCACTTTTTTAGCATTCTATGACTTTGTCCACCAATAGTGGACATGAAACACCAATCGCTTGTAAAATTAGTATGCAATTACAAATCAGTGTTAAAGACGACCTCAATCAATAAGTGCATGTCATCATTTTTGGACATGAAACCATTTACAATCTCTTTTTTTTTTTTCCCCTTGAGACGCATCAACTCCATCACTGCATCAACTCCATCACTACAACAAAACACACTAGGCACTACTTTTATTATCTAGCTTCCATTATTGTTATTGTCAAGGAATTTCCAGTATGACTTCTCTCACTTGTTGATGTCTCTGCATCCATGGAACTTCTCTCGACAAAGAAACCAGGCAGTTTAGGTTCAGGCAATGCCACCCCATCATTACCCAACATGAAAACTACTGATGACATGGAAGGTCTGTCTTTTGGCAGTTTTTGAACACATAGTAGACCCACTTGAATACATCTTACTACTTGAGGTTCGATGTATGAATTTTCCAAACATGAATCCACTAATTCCAGGGCTCTGTGATCATTCCACAGCAACCAAGCCTATAACAAGCACAATCCTCAAATTTAGTAATTCACATAGGAAGTTAGAGAAATAAAATAAAATACAGTAGAATACATTTCACCATACATGTCCCAAAAGTGAATGATAGTGATCAAGATGATGAAATTTCCTGTTCTTCTTGCCACTCACTATCTCTAGTAAAAGCACACCTAAACTAAAGACATCAGATTTTACTGACAATTTCACATCACACTTAAACTAAAGACATTAGATTTTATAATTTATAACCATACAAGTTTTTCCTCTTTTTATTTCAGCATGATTTCTAACCATAAAAGCTAAACTCCTGTGTCTACTATTACTTTTTCTTATTACTTTTAATAATAAAAGTTCTTTAATTTATTTTTGGAATTCTTCTTAATCATCTAAGGTATAAGGATTATCTTGTGTTTTTATAGTAATAAAAGAATTTATTATGTTTAATTTTGCTTCAATTTTATTTTTATATCAGTGTTTCTGGGGATCTTCTCCTAGAATCTCAGTGGTTTCAGCTAATCTTATAAGATTATCAATGTTTAGTTTGTGATTTTTTAATATAACTTTATTATTAAGGAAAATCTTTGGTTCATCTAGGTGACTAAGAAACATTAAGGCTTCAGAAACATCTTCTAAAAACTCAGATATATCAAATAAATTTTCTGTAGTTTCTTCTGTCATAGATAAAGTATTAACATAAGTAATGACTCTTTTTTCTTTTTGAGGAATATAAGGATCTCTAGATGGAATAAAGGTTCTTTCTTAAAAAACTGTAAACCTGTAGGGGTATACATGAAACCTCCAGTGAGTGAGTTTATAAAATTTAATCCAAGAATAAAATCATAAGTACTGGGAGTATTATTTACTACCTAAGTTTGTGGTAAGAAAAATTTTTCATTATTAATTAATATAGGAATATTCTGAACACAATGAGTTATAGGTAGTTTTTCATTATTATATTGACTTATATTAACATTATAATTTTATTTTATTAATGCTTCCTCTGGTACCAAATGCTTTTGATTTATGCTTTTAGATATTCCAGTATCCAACATAGCTAAGGTTTTCACTAATTTTTCTTTAAATTCTAATGTTACTGGGAATTGGATTAGACTAGATAATTTATATATTGAATTTATAGATTCGATTAGAATATCTTCTTGCTTGTCTTCATATTTTGTATAGCAAGCATGACATAATAAAGTTTTACAATGATTTTCACAATAATGACCTTTTTTAATAGATGTATTGCACTATTTACAATTATAAAAAGAAAATTGAAAATTAACCAAATTATACTGACATGATGGATTGCTTATAGTATAAACTAAATCTTCCATTGAATGAAGCCCTTGTTCAAAGTCTTCAATATTATCAAAGTTGCTATCTAAGCTTTCGGTACTATATATACTTTCATTATCATCGTCAGAATCATAAAGACTTTCTAGTTCATATAATTCTTCTATCTGTTCTTCAATAGCTTCAAGTATATTGATCTTCACTTGTATCCTTTTAATAAGATTCTATTTGTATCGATAAGAGCAATTTGGTCTTATATGTCCTGAATCTTCACAAATAAAAAATTTGCAATGTCTTTCTTTTGTGGGTAAAGTGTTTACCTTATTATCTTTGTCTTTATTATCCTTTTTGTCTTTATTTATTTTTTGCTTTTTATACCAAGGCCGCTTTCTAAATTGCCTAGGGTTAGTTTTGACATAAGGTTTTTTATTACGATAGTTCTTGTAAGTCTTACTTTTGCGTAGATTATATTTTTTAGGTTTATTATGCTTATAATTATAATTTTTCTGAGGCATACAACCATACCGAGGTGGAAAATCTATTTGTCTACACGTATAATAAAATTGCTTTTTGATTTGTTTAGATTCTTTATGTTGTCTACATTCTGCTTTTAGCATATTATACACATGATTAACTCTATCTCCTATGGTTAGCATTTCTCGTCTAGGATTATCTAACCATTTTTCCCAAATTTTAGTTCCTACACTTCCGGGTAATTTCTGAAGATACCTATCGAGTAATGTTTTATCACCTGTTTTACCAGTGGCTGCAAAATACTCAAAAAACTTATTGGTGTAATCTTTTATGTATCTAAAATCACAAATCTGCAATAATTCTAAATTACGTAATGCTTCGTTTTGCCTTATTAAGGTGTTCTCTAATAATCTATCTTCACCAACTAATACTTTTTTTATTAGGCTAGTAAAACCTTGAATTGTAAAATTATCACGTAAGTGGGCATAATCATTGGGATAAGTTACTTTATAAGACTACCACCAGTCATGAATGGTTCCTCTTAATAAGATTTCACAATAGGTTAGGGCTTGAGTTCTATTGTCAAAATTGGTCAGAATAGCTTGCCAAATACAATCTTGTTCCCAATTTTCGATTACTTTTGCCTAATCTTGGGGATCGTGTCTTGCTATATCTAATATTGTTCCTGCTTGTTGTGCTGGTATATTTTCATAATGTCTATGATATTGTGTTCATGTGTACATAACTGGTATATTTCTATTTTCTATATAAGTTTCTCGTGAGGGATTTAATCTTTGTCCAGTAGTATAGTCGTTATTTATGGTATTACTACCTGAGGCGTTAGTCTTTCTTTGGTCAGTCATTTCTTGATATGCTGATCTTTCTGTTCATTTCATTTTCTATGTTCTATTTATTCTATAACATTCAACTCTTCTTTTACTGTGTTTAATTCTGATGCTGTATAAAAGGATTCAAACCCTACGTTTAGAATATTTTTCTTAATATCATCATTACTTTCTTGTCCTAAGTAAATACTTTCTATAAGTTTGTATTTAGGTTCTGGATACTTGTTTTGCAGGGCTTCTAATTCTAAATTATCAAAATCGTACATTATTTTTTCTAGAATTTCATCTTCTAGTCTATTATAAAGGACATTTATTTCTTCGGGAGATTATATTTCTATGAGTGTAGTTAAAAAGTCTTCCTGGTTATCATTCACTAAATTGTCTTGTATTTTATAATTACTAAATCTTATGCTAGCTTCGCCGCTATTTGTACATATATCATATTATTTTCGGAAATTTTTTTGGTATAGTAGTAAGTTTAGGTAATTTGCATTATGTTCCTTCATAGGTAATACTACTTACTTTTCTAGCTTATATCATCCGGACATATTTGTTACTAAACGGTTTAACTACTTCACTAAATTGGGTTTTAAATTTTAAGTTATACTAATTAACTGTTTTTCCCATAAATAGAGTATTAACTAATAGATTTTCAAATTGTCCTGTCATATTGTATCCTTTTGTGGATATGGCTATCTTAATATGTTTACTGAATTCTCTAGTAGTCGTTGTATAATTAGGAATACATCCTACTATTGCTGCATTGTCGGCTAAATCTATTTCGGTGCTGGCTATTTGTGCTTGTTGATGGTTATTCCATCGGTCATCATAAATATAAGCAAGTGCTCTAGTTCCTATTTCTACTCTGTTTAATCCTACTAATCCTATCATTATGACGCCTAAATGAATGAGTTCTAAATTATTATCATTTTGTATTAAGATAATTCTAGATCTAAGTTCTTCTATTCTTCTTTGTAAACTGCGTATTGGTTCTCCTAGTTCTTGTGCGATGTAACAATTCCTAAGTGCTATTTGGCAGAATTCTAGAGCTTGTACAAGTTGTTCTTTGGGTAAATCATGCATAAAGTAAACTTCTAGGGGTGAAAATATAATTTTAACGTAGGGGTCAAATAAAGTGCCTTGACTTTTAGTTCATATTTTCGTAAATATGCAAACTACGTTCATGTAATGGTAATATACCTATGCTAATACCACTTATATGTAATTTTTCCAAAATTAATGTTAGCCTCCATATTTTTTGAC